CCAGATCCCTCAGCGCTGGCTCAGCCCGACTCTTCAACCCCTCCAGGGATCCCGGGGACTCCCCCCTGCCCTGGGCAGCCCATTCCAACGCCCAACAGCCCCTTCTGCACAGAAATCCTTCCTCAGAGCCAGCCTGACCCTGCCCTGGGCAGCTTGAGGCCATTCCCTCGGGGCCTGGCGCTGGGGCCTTGGCTCCAGAGACTCATCCCCCCTCTCTGCCCCCTCCTGGCAGGGAGTTGCCGAGGGCCAGGAGGTCTCCCCTCAGCCTCCTCTTCTCCAGACTGAACCCCCCCAGTTCCCCCAGCCGCTCCCCAGCAGACCTGTGCTCCAGACCCTGCCCCAGCTCCGTTCCCTTCTCTGGCCACGCTCGAGTCACTCAATGGCCTTTTTGGGGTGAGGGGCCCAGAACTGAACCCCTCAGCGAGGGGTGGCCTCCCCAGTGCCGAGCCCAGGGCTCAGATCCCTTCCCTGTCCCTGCTGGCCACGCCAGGGCTGGTACAAGCCAGGATGCCACTGGCCTCCTTGGCCCCTGGGCACACTGCTGGCTCCTGTTCAGCCGGCTGGCAATGACCCCCCCGGTCCCTCTCTGACCGGCAGCTTTTACTGGCAACTGATCTCCGCACCCACCCAGCAGGGACGCAGGCTGATTTATTGCGTCTCTCCCACCAAACGAGCCCACGCTCACCTTGATGTGCAATTTCGCTTTCGTTAGTAAACTCAGGGTGGTGTGTCTGCTGGCCTCGGGTCCGAGCGGCACCAGCCCCTTCAGCTTCTCCAAACACAAGCGGAGGTGGGCACGCCTGTCGGAAGATCACACAACACACTGAGCGCTCATGTACGCGCTTCCCACGCGGTGGCTCGCCCCTGCGAGCGCGGACCGTTGGGCTGGTTGGAGGCTAAACCCAACCAGACGCCTTCCCACCCTCCGCTTCATACGCCGGGAGGAAACTGCAGCCAGAGGAAAGGATCTCGCTGAAAAAACCCGACTCCACCGTCGGCCAACCCCACCTACAAACCCTGCCAGAGCCTTTCAGGCTGTTGGGACGCTTGCTGGCGAGGAGCTGCCAAGAGCCTCATTGTTTTGGGTGAGGGTATCTGCTTTTTGTCTCCCTCCTCCCCAAACCCCTCACTGCAGGGATGCTGTTCGGCCACCACCTTGCTCCACTGACAGCTGAAACCACCTGGGCTGACACCACGCAGCTGTAAACCCCGCGCGGCCCTCAGGAGTGCTTCTTTCCCTATTTTTAGCAGGAACAGCACAGGAGCCTGCCAGAAATCCCTCCCTTTCTCCACAACACCCAGATTTTGTCTGCATTAATCCGTAAGCTAATGCTCTACCGCTCGCGCCCCGCTGCTGCGGGCAACTCTGGCTCTTGGAGGAAAACCCTTTCTCCGTCGATAACCAGGATGCTCCCAGCACGGGCCAGTTTACTTTGCGTTCAACACTCCAACCCCAAGATTTAGGTCACATTCTTGGGCACCGGTTGCAACACCCGCCTTTGAAATACCCGATTGACACAGGCAGCTGCAAACTGGGATTTTGCAAGTACCTGCCTATCTTGTTTTGCACACGCTAGGAGTAAACAGGCATTTGCCTACACAAAAAGTACCTCCTGAATTACAATGCAAACAAAACACGTGGTCTTCAGTCTTCGGGTAAATCCCAAACACTGACAGGCTCAAAGATGAGCCTTTGCAAAGATTATTTACCTGAGCGGCGGGGGGAAGAGCTGCCTCGAGCAGCGCAGACCTGTCCGACCGTGCCACGCAGGCTGACAAGTGATTTACCTGCGAGATCTATGGATAAGGAGCCAGCCCAGCCGCGCTGCGTAAGGGCTGTGGCAGCAAAACTGAAAATCCTCAGCTCCCTTTGCTAAAAAAACCCCCCAACCCTTCTCATGTTGGCCATTCACACCAGAAAAACGAATGGAAAAAAACCAGCTCGCCCTGCCTAGCAGAAGTTAGGCGGGGGGGGGAGATTACACAACGCCAACGCCAGAGTCAAACGTGGGGTTTCCGCTTCGAAGTGAGAGGTGTCGTGTCTGTAAAAGCGTGTTTCTGCCATGCTTCACCCTGCTGAAACTGCTGCTTTGCTTAAAAAACCCCGGAAATCCCACGGGCTGGTAATAACAAAAGGAAATAACCCTCAAAGGATTTGTTTCCCGGGAAAAGGCCCTCCCAAGCCCATTGTTGCGCCTCATCGTGCTTGGCCTTGTGAGCCACCCCTCCTCCCGCCGCCCTCCCTCCCCGCATCAAGGCAGGTTGCTCCTCGTGGCGGGGGGAGGCCAAGATTCACCGGCTCAACTGCTACAGGATGGGACGGAGGTACCCCCGAGGAGGAGCGAAGGAAGAAGGGGCGCGTAACCCCTGTCCAGAGAGCAGCTCGTTTCTCCAGCTGCCCCGTTCGAAGGGGCGGAAAAGACAAAGCACTTACTGCACTCGCTTGTGCAACTTCAGGAGAGCGGGCTTTCGACACTCCTCTGCTCTACACAAGGCGAGCCTCAAGTAATCAAATGCTGATTTTCTCGGATTTTTTCAAACAAGGAATAAACGTCCCTGGCCTTTTCTAACCCACTTCACTGGGGACACAGTTCTGCCTCTGACGGTACAAACCAACCAAGTTGGCAGCAGGACACGGCAAGATCTGAGCCACATCCAAGCCACGCTGAGAAAAAAAAGAGGAGCCGACCAAGGACACAAAGTCATTGTGCAGCCGGATGACAAAGACCACTCCGGTCTGTGGCAAATAATCACACTTATGTGTAGGCACAGCTCCAGTCGGGTACCTACGCCCTGACTGTGGGTGAGCAGAGGGTGACGGTCACCCCACCAGCACGGGACTGCCCAGGGAGCTGGGAAAGGGCTGGAAATCCTCCCTAGCAAGCCGAGAGGTGGGATGAGGGGAGGAACGCTGCTCGGGGTTTCACTGGAGCTGCTAGAGAGATAAATATTCCCATCTCCTTATTGCACGGCTGCTCTGGGGGCCAAGGACAGGGAATGCTTCAAGTACGAGCAACATCAGGAACGTCCTCGGTGACCACCCTACCCAGCCGCCCTGTCCCTTCTCTCCACTCCCCATCCCAACGGCTCCCCGAGCCCCGTTCCCAAACCCAGCTCCTACCAAACCTCCAGCACTCACCGGTTCTTTTCCATCTCGTTGTGCGTCGACCTGAAAAAGAAAGAGCGAGTTATTAACCCCTCTGTCTGACTAGTACAGCACAAGGAGGATTAGCACGCAGGCCTTAGTAAACACTGCCTGGAAAAGCTGCAAACCTTGGGGGCTGCTCAGCACCCCGGGGACGGTGAAAACAGCGGAAGGGACGCAGACGGTCTGGTGCAATGGAGAAATTGCCAGATAAATGGCACTAAAAGGGCCAGTAAAACCGTAAGACGGGATTTGAATGCGGAGAGGCTCAGGTTTTAGCACTAGGAGCAGGATGAAGCCGCCGTGTGAGCGCCGTGACACGAGGCAGCGCACGCCATCCACAGCGAGGGCTCTTGAGGCTCGTGGTGGAGAAGGGGAAGCGGCAGCCCTGAGAGCGGCCACACGCTCAGGGCAGGAGGGCGCATCTCCGGGCAGGGAAGTTGCTCCATCTCCACACGAACCTGCAACCGAGCCTCTATCAGAAAGCAAGTGGGATTTGAGAGAGCGCAGGTGTCCTAGAGCACTTGTTTTGTTTGGTTTTTTTTTTAAAGCAGCTTTTAAAATATTTCTTGCGCAAGAGCAAAGAAAGCAGAAGAACAGCTGTATTGTATTGTGTCCGGTTTGGGCACCTCAGTACGAGAGAGATCTGGGGGGGCTGGAGCGAGGGCAGAGGAGGGCAGCGAGGCTGGGGAGGGGCTGGAGAATAAATCCTGTGAGGAGCCAGGGAAGGAGCTGGGGGTGTTCAGGGTGAGGAGGAGGAGGCTGAGGGGAGCCCTCATCCCTCTCTGCAGCTCCTGACAGGACATTGCAGAGAGGCCGGGGCTGGGCTCTGCTCCCAGGGGATCAGGGACAGGACAAGAGGGAACGGCTGGAAACTGCCCCAGGGGAGGGTCAGGCTGGGCAGGAGGAGAAAATGTTTCCCAGCAAGAGTGGTCCGAGAGTGGAACAGGCTGCCCGGGGAGGGGGGAGTCCCCATCCCTGGGGGGGTTTCAGGGCCGTTGGGATGAGCTGGGGGGGATGTGGGGTAGGGGAGAGCTTTGTGGAGTCGGGCTGAGGGTTGGACTCGGTGATCCCGAGGGGCTTTTCCAGCCTGAACGATTCTGTCATTCCTGTGCCTCCCTGTACACTAAGACGAGTCTCTCCGAGCACAGAACCCCTCAGATCTTTCTCCCCATGATTTCTACCCCCCAGTGAGGTGTTCTGCCCACTGACTGCTCTCCCCATTGCCTTTCAGGTGCTGTTCAGGTGATGGTGGCCTCCCGCAGCCTCTGCTGGGGTATGAACATCGCCGACGCAGTACTACAACGGCAAGATCCATGCGTGAGTGTGCTGTGCTGAGAGCGAGGGAGGCGCCTTTACCCCAAAGGGCTTCACGCCTCTCCACAGGCAGAGGTTGGGAATTGGAGAGTGGTGATACCGTCCTGTGGAGCTTCGTTAACTCTCTCTCCGTCTCCCAGGTACGTGGATTACCCCATCTACGACGTGCTGCAGATGGTGGGCCACGCTAATCGCCCGCTGCAGGACGACGAGGGCCGTTGTGTCATCATGTGCCAGGGATCCAAGAAGGTGGGTGAGGAGCGAGGCACCGTTTCTGGCCTGTGAACATCTTGTCTCCTGCTTGGGGCCTGGATTTCTCCTCCCAGCTTTGGTCAAGGCTAATGTCTAACCCTCTCTTGGAGCCCTGCTGCTGGGGACGTGCTCCAGGCTGCCTGGGGAGGGGGGAGTCCCCACCCCTGGGGGGGTTTAAGGGCCGTTGGGATGAGCTGTGGGGGATGTGGGGTAGGAGAGAACTTCGTAGAGTTGGGCTGAGGCTTGGACTCGATGACCCCAAGGGGCTTTTCCAATCCGAATGATTCTGTGATTTTGGAGGTGCTGAGGTTTATTTACCCCTTCCTTCCTCTCCTGCTGTAGGATTTCTTCAAGAAATTCCTCTACGAGCCTCTGCCAGTGGAGTCACACTTGGACCACTGCATGCACGATCACTTCAACGCCGAGATTGTCACCAAGACCATCGAGAACAAGCAGGATGCAGTGGACTACCTCACTTGGACGTTCCTGTATCGCAGGATGACGCAGAATCCAAACTACTACAACCTGCAAGGTGATCAGAGGGGTCTGCGCTGGTGGATATGGGCTTCCAGGGTATCAGGGACCCTCTCCCTGTGAGCTCTGCGTTCACGAGAGCAGCTTTGCTCTGTCCTGGGGAGTTTCTGAGCAGCCGTAATGCTGCTGTACCCGCAGGTGTGTCCCACAGGCATCTCTCGGATCATCTCTCCGAGCTGGTGGAACAGACCCTCAGTGACCTGGAGCAGTCCAAGTGCATCAGCATTGAGGACGAGATGGACGTGGCTCCTCTGAACCTGGGGATGATTGCTGCCTACTACTACATCAACTACACCACCATCGGTGAGGGCTCCATGAGGGACAGGGGCCGCACTCGAGTGCTCCTGCTCTCTGTCCCCCCTCTGCGTTTCTCCCTGTGCTGTGGGCGATGGGGAGAAGCTGCCGCGTGTGTGGTTGGATGCGTGAAACTCCATCCTGTAGCCCAAGGCTCCGTGTTGTCTGCCTGAAGACAGCTCCTGCACCATGAGGTTTCATGCTGTCTGCTTTTCCCTGACCCCTCTACCTCTCTGGCTTCTCCAGAGCTCTTCAGCATGTCCCTCAATGCCAAGACCAAGGTGCGAGGGCTGATTGAAATCATCTCCAACGCTGCTGAGTACGAGAACATCCCCATCAGGCACCACGAGGACAATCTCCTGCGGCAGGTGTGTCACATCTGCGGCCAGAGGGGCCAGACGTGGGTTCCTGCAGGGTCGGGGGAAGGAAACTGCCCACATTTTCAGCTCTGTAGGGCTAAAGCACTGATGTGTTTATCATTTCTCTCCATAGCTGGCCCAAAAAGTTCCCCACAAGCTGACCAACCCCAAATTCAACGATCCCCATGTCAAGACCAACCTCCTGCTGCAGGCTCACTTGTCACGCATGCAGCTGAGCGCCGAGCTGCAGTCGGACACCGA